AGAGAGAGAGAGAGAGAGAGAGAGAGAGAGAGAGAGAGGGGGGGGGAGCGTTGTTTTTTTAATTTCTTTTTTTGTTGGTGCTTTTGATTCTTCTTAACCGCGTACACGTGTGTTGGATGCTGTTGTTGGACCCGATGCGGAATAACCTCACTTTTACGATCGAAGAATTCTCGGTCGTATGTTGGATGTGACAAGATCGACTGCTCTCGAGCCATTTTCGACAGTGGAATTCGAAGACGAAATTACCGCCGGTAATTAATGCTTAATTCGTCGTCGGCTATTGCGACTATAATAATTGTTTTTTTGTGTTTTTTGTTTTTTAATTATGCCTACGATTCATGGATTTATAATACCTGCATTTTCGTGTAACTACCCGATGTATGCAAACGTAAAGGAGAGAAACAGTTAATTTACACTCCATCTATTTGTGGTTGAATAATGAAGTTATTGAATTTAACATGACTGCGATTAATCTCGTTTCTAAATTAGCGCCTCTACTAATATTCCATTCTCTTAATTAAAATACTTTAGTAAATAAAATTCGCATTATAAATATAAAAGTCAAAGAAGGCAAAAGTCGAAGTCTCCGTTCGTTTAAATGCAACTCAAAATCGTAATATGCAGCAATTAAAAAGTAATGTAACGTAGCTTGCTGTGATACTCGTTCCCACAGTAACGGAAAATTTCTTCAACCTAACGCAAATGCACGACTATCGTCAATCACTTGCACTACTCCCACATGTCGCCGATAAGGAAACGTAAATGTAATGTCTAAAGACAACAAAGGACAGTGCGTTAAACGAAAATTGCTTGAGACAACATCACGTCCTTCAACACCACAGCATTCCAACACTAATAAGCTCAAAATTCTCAAGATCGCTCTCCCGTGGTATCAGTCGCCGACGGCGCCACGGAAACGGAAAATTCAAGCCACCGGAGGAAAAGGGCGAGGGCGGCGCACTCGAGCGGTTCGCCGGAGATTCGATTTAGCGAAGTTGCTCGAACGGCGCCGAGACGCTCGAGGCGCCTCGCTGTCCTCCCCAACTCAGCCCTTTGTCGCGAGGGATTTTCCACGCGCTCGAAATATACATTCGCTTTGAGCGAAAAAGAGAGAAATTATATTTACCAGCGATTGTCGCGTAACTCCAAACCAATCCTTTTCTTTTTTTTCTTCTTTTTTGTTAGCCGATATACCACGATTGGTCAGTAATACAGTCGATCCGCCAGGTGTAATCAAAGGGGACTTTAGGGGAAATCTCTAGGGAATAGTTTTCTTATTGTTTTTTTTCAAGTTTTTTTTTTTTTTGTCGTTTTTCAAGGAAAATAATGGTTATAACGCTTCGCACACTTACAGGGATCGAGCCAGAGGCGACTCATTCGAGATCGCAATCGTGGTCATTTATTTAATTACACGCTGAAATGCTCGTCATTCGTCTTCCTCAAATTTCGTCGTAGGGAAAAGCGCGCGACGGGAGCATAGACTAATACGAACGTAGGGGGAGGATGAATCCGAAACAGAGAGCGACGTGTTGGATACGCCCTTAAAACCGATCGTTCAGCTTTTAGTCAAGAAGCCGTCGTCGGTCAACTTGGTCTCGTCCGACGATCATCATAATCAGATAAGCGAAAAAATATATGGAATAAAGGGAGGGAAAACGAGATAGAGAGATAGAGATAGAGATAGAGATAGAGATAGAGATATAGATAGATAGATAGAGAGAGAGAGAGAGAGAGAGAGAGAGAGAGAGAGAGAGAGAGAGGGGGGGGGACGAGCGTGTGGTCAGGAGGAAGAGAAAGGAATGGCTAAACTCATTTACTGCTCGGTGGCGTATAATAAAACTTATCCGCGACGGAGGGACGAGAGGGATGGCGGGTACTTGCCTTATCGAGTCGATCATCTCGCTATCGGGACAAAAGGTGTGTGCGACGAAAAGAGGAGGTCGAGAAAAGTGGCGCCTGCGGTGAGCAGCTGCCATCGTCATCCTCGACCCCCATTATCCGCATAAATAGCGTACGAGGGACGTCTTGATCGGGACACTTTTCCGGCCCGTGTCTCCTCTT